TAGATCCATGCACCGATGCACAGGGAAGGCAGAGGCCAGGGGGACAGGCAAGGTGCACCCTGGACAGGACCCGGCCGAGGCAAGCCCCCACAGTTCTTCGGCAGTGAGTCGAGCGGGTGGGAAGAGCGCAAGCAGGGAAGCCTGCGGATCCGGAGAGGAGACGACTTGCCCATCAGAAGACGCGGCTCCTCCTGGCGCCCTGGGGGCCTGAGCACTGAGCGGACGTTCGGGAACATTATGAAATCACTGTGTGTCAGACGTGATAATGGTCTGTGGTTATGCTGTTTAAACGCGCCCTTTCGGGAACCTCGCACACTGCCGGTGGGAATGTGAATTAGCACAGCCACCATGGAAAGCTATATGTTGCTCAAAAAGCTAAAAATAGAACGGAGGTATCATCCAGCTATTCCACTGCTGGGTACACATTCAAAAGAAAAGAAATTAACGTACTGAAGGGACAGCGGCACCCCCATGTTTACTGCAGCGCTGTTCACAATAGCCGAGATGCGGAATTGAGCTGTGGGCCCAGCAAAGGCTGAATGGATAAAGAAAATGTGGCATGTACACACAACGGATATTATTAGTCAGCCATAAAAAATGAATTCCTGTCATTTGCAGTCACACGGATGGAACCGTAGGCCATTGCGTTAAGTGAGACAAGCCAAGCACAGAAAGACAATGTTGTCTGTTCTCACTCACATGTGGGAACCAAAAAAAAAAAAAAAAAAAAGTGAATCTCATGAAAACCGAGTAGATTGATGGTTACAGAGGCCAGGAAAAGGGGGTGGGGATCAGGAGAGGTTGATGAATGGGCACAACACACAATTAGATGGAAGAAATGAGACCTAGTGCTTGCTAGATCAGCAGTGACTATAATTAACATTAATCTATGATACATTTCAAAATAGCTAGAAAACAATAATTCAAATGTTCCTAGCATAAAGAAAAATAAATATTTAAGGTGGTAGGTATTCCAATTACATTGATTTGATCATTGCCTAGTATATGAATGTAACAAATGATCACATGTATCCTGAAAATATACACATCTACTACATATCAATAAAAATAAAAAGTGTAAGAAAAGCAAAAAAAATTATATAAATTCATAATGAAATAAATTATACTAAAAACAAAAAAATTAACATACCCTGTCAAAAATACGTACTGAAAAATTGACAGAAAAATATGACATTTGGGATTTGGTTTAAAAACACGCAGGGCCTAGGGACAGATGAAACAGGATCATCCACAAGGGGGCACTGTCAAAATTGCATGATGGGAACAGAGTTCCCATCTCAATAATCTCTTTTGGCTAATTTTGTACGTGTTTCAAATTTTCCTTAATAAAAAGGATTTCTGAAGTTGTTGTTTGTTTGAAATCTCAAATACCCCATTAGAGGACCGAGACAGAGGAAGAGGGCAGGAGAGCATGCACGCAGAGCACCTGGTCTGGGGAGAGGGACTTTGAACCATGCCCAGAAGCTTGGGAGGTTCTGCAAATGCTTGTTGCCAGCTTACTCTTTCAAGTGCACTTTTAACCAGTTTTTAAAATCTCAGTTAAAAAATACCCACCCCACACCCAGAAGTGACAGGGTGCAATGCATTCTGCCACCGGTGCCGGCCCACGCGCTATTATGATTGTGAAAGATAAGCACAGAATCAAAAGTCAGAGTTGAGAAACTTTCATAGCAATTTGACACAGTGGCCTTACGTCTGCTGAGTCTAATAAGAAGATAATGTGCTTATATTTCATATATCTTTGTTTTTATTGTAACTACAAATTTTTGTGGCATTTTAAATTTTGGCTGTGGTTAAACAGCAAACTCTCACACAGGTGCCCACTACTATCTCCCTTTCAAACATCTGCATGGGTTTAATGGCAGAGGGTCCCAAGACTGCAAGCTGAGCTGCTTAAAAAACTGACTGCTTCTTTGTACCAACTGGGAATTATCACTCAACTGAAGTGCAGAAATATATCAGGAACTTGGGTTAGTGGAAGATACCAACTAGCACCTCTGGCTCCTTAAAATGGTATTGCTGTTCTCACTATGATATGCAAAAAACAAACAAAATAATAATAAATATAAACTTATAAAATAAATGCACACTAATATGCAACATCACCTGTATCTATTTTATGCACTGGAGTTCCTGTTCAAGCTGCACTGCTCTAAAAGAGAAGGGAAAGTTGCTGGTGGTCAAAATCCTTGTGCGGCAACCTCAGCTCTGCCACCTCTCACAGCTTAGCATCTCTGGGCCTCAGTTTCCTCAAATATATAATTGGAACAGAGCCACTCATTTCACTGGTTTTTTTATTAGGGCAACAGGAAATAAGAGCTAAAAACATTTCAAAGAATTAAAAGCACAAAGCTAAAAGCACATGGTGATTTTATCAAGTTCACAGCATGGCCTGCATTCCCCCCCTACCCAGCTTCACTCATCTTGTTTCCTCCTCCATAAAGTATAGAATGTGATGTTACAACCAATGATAACAACACTAATAACAAATTAAGTCAAGTATCATTGATCAAAAAACATATCATCCCAGCCTCAGCAAGAGCGAGACCCCGTCTCTACTAAAAATAGAAAGAAATTAGCTGGGCAACTAAAAATATACATAGAAAAAATTAGCCGGGCATGGTGGCACATGCCTGTAGTCCCAGCTACTCGGGAGGCTGAGGCAGGAGGATCGCTTGAGCCCAGGAGTTTGGGGTTGCTGTGAGCTACGCTGATGCCACGGCACTCTAGCCCGGGCAACAGAGTAAGATTCTGTCACAAAAACAAAACAAAACAACATATCACCGACCCTGCTGTGTGTGCCCAACACGGTGCTAACCGCTTTCCCCGGAAACTTCGGGTGATCCTCCCTCCAGCCCCGCCGGGCCCACTCCCTCACCCCCGTTTTCATGGGGCTTTCACAGAACAGCAGCGCCTGCCTCCTCTTCCTGAAGCCCCAGTGTGATAACAACAGATGTGAAAATCAACACAAGTACCCAGGGGACCAGGCACAGGGACCACAGCCAGGAACAGGACACATGATCTGTGACCTCACGGGGTTTCATCCTAGGAACCAACAAGAGTGGTATGAACACCATGCTAACACCGAGGCCTGAGTCTGTGGCCTTTCCTGGGCCAGCCCCTCCCGTTAGAGCAGAAAAAATGTTTGTGGTTTTGTGGCCCTGTTGGGGGGGGGGGGCAAGCCCTAGCTGTGGCTTCAGGGTCTCTGGCTCAGAGCAGGCATTACAGTTGACCCTGCCAAGCCCAACCAGCCAAGCAGGAGCAGAACACAGGGGTGGGGAGCACCGAGGCCGGGAGTGCTCCCAGTGGCTCCTCTGCCAGCTCGGGCTAGCTGCCGGGAGCGCTGGGAGGCAGCTAGGATTGCCAGAAACGGCTCACTTCACAAGACAATGAATCCACTGTTGGCCAGCCAGGGCCTTGATTAATATTTGCAAAAGAACGAAGTGGAAAATTCCACCTGTGTGGTTGGAGGCTGGACCCGCAGGACATGTCAAGGGCCCTGACGGCCTTGTTTCCTCTAGGGTGGATCAGGCAGAGAGACAAAGGTCTGAGCAACAGTGACAGAACCTGGGCCTGTCATTACTCTTGGGTCCAAGGGAATGTCCCTCCGCAGATTACAGACATATTAGGTTTTTTTATTGTCCTGCCGCTCCTCCCCCTGAATTTACACAGCACTTTTAAATCCTTCAACTTGCTTTCCTATCTCCTGTCTCATCCGAGCCTCCTAACAGGCCTGCTAGGGAGTCGGGGCTGGCATCAGCCCCGGGTATGTGTGGCCTTGCTCAAGGCCAGCCGTCAGCGAGCAAGGTGCGGGGATGGCGAGATTTTTGTTTTAAAAAGGAACAACGGATGCCTATGGAGAGAGGAATCTGCGACGGAGGGGTGGCGTGGAGCCACGAGCTTGGTGGAGGGGGTGGCCAGGCGAGTGGGGTTGCCAAGGCGGGAGACTCATCCTCTCAACGCAGCACTGTTAGTATCAATATCCGAGATTCGGGAGTTCAAATCAGATTGTGGATGAGATGAGTCGCCGCCGTTGCAGTTTCATAGGAGGCGGCCGCCTGGCACCTCCGGGCACAGGTCTCAGGCTGCGCCTCCCACGCCACCCTGCTGGGTCCCTCACACTGTCCTCTCGCTCGGGGCCGTCATCAGTGCTTTCCCCTTTTTTAAAACCAAAATCACGTGTCCCCACCTGCCACTCATTTCGCG